CAATTGGGATTTTTTTAAAAAGCTTACAAATTTTTCCCTATATATCGGACACATCAAATCATTAGTGATGTTAACTTGAAAGCTGTTAAGCGGTATAGGAGCTAAGTGCATTTACGCCCGATGCGGGTGTCAATTGGAGCTATCGTTCATAACTTCATACACCACTGGTGATGAGTAAGAGTGCTCCAGGCGTTTTTATGGGTAAATTTGCGGGCTGGTTGACCGCCACTGATTAGAAGATTTACAGTTAAGCATCGATGTAGTAAGTAAGCTTGATATTAGCTGACGTACGATAGCATTCTGCGCACGGCGACTTGAAAAGAAATTAATTTGTTTTTGTGCAATGTATGTTCTTTCTAGAATTCCATATTCGAATTTTGATTTGCAGGAAGAAGTGTATTCTTTCCCCCCCTCCCTAAATACACTTCGGTCTTTTGCTCCTATTGTTCAATAGTCAGTTATATTAACTCTCGTTTTCTATCATGTCAAAGCTGTGGTGTCATTGTCGAACAGTTAATTTAGCTAGCGCATGGTTGTGGAGTTTTTGGTGCAAATACGTGTGTTTCAATGTTTGTTTTTGATGATATATAGCTTCAGTCGATAAAGCGTTAAATAAGAAAGACTCGGAACAATTTATATATTTTTAAAAAAATCGTAACAGAAAGGGTGGAATGATGTAAATTGATGAGGAGAAGTTACTCATATAGGTCTCAGAATGCGGCGATTGTAAAACAAAGAGGTTGTAGAAGGGGATTGTTACAAATTACGAATTTCGGTCAATCCTTAATAAACATTGCAACGCCTATTTATGCCTTCACCGCGAAAGATATGCTCTTAATGTTAGAAAAATGCGATGATTTTTAGCGAAAATTGGAGTGAGATTATAAATGGTACGGGGAAGTTTTTGTATGCCGAAGAGCTGTCCAAGTTGAGTTTTATTCAAAAGAGAGCTTCATGCCCATATTCAGGTAACAATGATGCCAGTGGTCACCGAGCGACCACGTACACATCTCGTTCGTGTTCCTGGACAACTCGTTCCAACGACTTCTACAGCACCTCCGGTACCATCGAATGACGATCCATCCCTTGAGGTGAGCTGCGCAACATTTCTTAAAGGCTTTACACTCGTAGAAAAAATCTACCAAACAGTGGTCTTTAATGGAAGCCTAGCTGCAAAATAGATTGTAATCAACTTCCGTGATTCTTTGTGTCGTCAGCCATATCGAGATGTATCGCTGGGTACTTTTTCAAATTAATGTCCAGTTCTTAAATTGCTCCTAGGGTTTCATTTTAGATCTAAGAAATTTAGCGTTTTGAGATGGTAGTTTCTGATAGATAGTAGTGCATTTGCTTTCCTCACTTGCTGTACCTGACGCTGTAGAAATAGCTCTGCCTTGATCTATCACCATTGAAGTAAATGAACAGTTTGGCAGCTTTGTAGGATATTGAACTTATTGACGTCCTCTGGCGCAGAGATATCGCAGCAGAGAAAGGTACCATTCAACTCGAACCAGCTGAACAATACGAGCGCGATCTGCAGCTACTGACCGAGAAGAGTGTGCATGCGGTGAGTTACACGAGTGAGGAGCTGTGTTCTTAATTTTTCAAAGAAATTCACTATGATATCAGTTTAAAGATGTTAGATCTTACAAAGTACTGAAGCCTTTTTTTCAATTTGGTGTAAGTTGAAAGGAGGGAAAGCGTTTTTATCTACACACTTATCACAACCTTGGTAGAATCATTAAGGTATAGTTTAAATGCTAAAGACATCTTCACCACGTCTCTTTTGCACTCGAAGGCTCAAGCTGGGCTGTTAAGATGTGATTTTTCTAGGTTTGCCCCTATTCCCATAGTCACTAGCATTTATTGTACTGTTCTAGTGCAGTGTTTTCGAGCTCTGTAAAATAATCTTAATGTCTACTAAACTTACTGAAAACTCACATTTCCTATGACTCAAGTTTTTCTAATTTTAAATTTCCAAATATACTCAGCTTGTGAATTTCAAAAAATAAATACTATTTAAGTTCATTCGTTCAATCAAATAAAATTGGATGGATACATAAACTCATCTTTCCAGAAGTTAACTAATATGCACTATAGATCTTTTTTACATATGAGGCTCAGTTGAGTGGATTTTTTTTTGCTGTATATAGTGTTGAACAATAGTCAGACAGTGCGTGCCTCTTTTTGTAGTACATAATCGGCGATTTTTCTCTAGTTTT